TAATATGACAGGCCTGTTGGTCTAGTGGTTAGTGACCCTGACTGCTATGCCGGAGGTCGTGGGTTCGATTCCCACCCAGGACAAATGTTTGTGTGATGAGCACGATCATTTGTTCTGCGTTTGGGTGTAATTTATCTATAATATTTATGTATTTAGAAATATATAAGTATGTTTATAGTTGTCTACCCATAACACAAGCTCTGCTTAGCTTGGAAGCGGGAGTTGTGGAATAATAATATATACTAATGCTACAAATACCTATATACCTCCGGCGCCCACCGCTCGTAAAATTGTATCGAAGCAAGCAAACAAATCCGTGTGTGTCGTGCGGACCATAAAATTAAAATTCTCACGACGAAGCAGTGCAGACATAGATTACTGTAATATATAGTGCAGAGCTCTAGAGCTCCTAAGCTTTTAACGTAAACGAACACTCACCAAGTCCCTTTTATTTTACGGAACCCACATCAAATGATAATTAATCCAAGACAGTGCAATTTAAATAAGAACAATAACTTTTATTAGAAACATTTTAAAAGTAGAGCTTTTATGTAAATCTATTTAGGTGAAATATTTTTAAAGTGAAATTATGAAAAAAGATTCTCGAAGTAGAAATTGTTTCACTGTTTTATTAATACCTAACTGCTTTATAGTTTAGTTTTATGTTCAACAGTTGTATGCCACGTCTGGGATAGCATCCAATCTCGACCCGAATTTGTTATCTGTATATGTGTAAGCTGAAAAACATGTTTCACAACGATACGTTGTGACTACTTTTTGGCTATTTCAGGGTATTCAATGACTGTATTTACTTACTAGCAGGTAAAAATAATATTTTTTGCTAGTTCGAATTTTACAACATATGTGTCTGTATGTGTGTGTATATGTTTGATTTGATTGTAATACTTCATTTTTATGCACACTTTCTCAAAACAAATTTTTGAAAATGATAACTCACCAACAACAAGTGTATTGTCGACGTTGACGACGTGACAAGCAGCCATGCGTGAAACCAAACCAAAGGGCTAAAGCGAGTACTACTAAGAGTCCGATTAATAATACTCCTTGAACTTTAGGATCGGAGAAACTCAAAGATTCCTTCATCGATGATTTTGTTCTTTTTGACGTTCCCGAAGAAGTCTTTTTTATTGAAGAGGAGCTTTTTGACATTTTAGAAAGTGATTTCACTTCACATAGTAGTCATTAAACATAAGATAAACTATTTCTTGAAGATTATATTTATTATGTATGGTTTTACTTTTACTGATAAATTACCATTTTGTAGGAATTAATCTTTTTCCTCCTCAAGTTTTTAAAATTAGTTTTTCATATTATAATTTAGGTATATATGTCAAACAAATGACAGCAGAAGTAATTTTTTAAATCTTAAAATCAAAAAGAATAATTAAAAGTAATTACGAATAATTGTAAAGGTCCCATACAGTCTGTACGTCGTATGCCAAACGAAAGAAATCTTAATTAATTCCACATGTTGTATGTAGTATCCCCATGTTCACTTGGCAATAATAGGTCTCTAACGAGGATGAATGATTGAGTTACTATCCGGTACATTCGGCATCCTTAAGTAGAGGCGATTACCATGTCTAAGAGACTGCAACGCAAAAATTCTGATCATTTGCCTAACCAGATTGTTGAATTCCTCCTGTGTTTTAGATTGTGTTAAGCGGGATATGATTGCTTTTAGATCGATTGTGAATAACTTACCTATATTAAAAATAAAAAAATTCGTTGACCCTGCAGGCCATCATTGGTACTTCACGCTAATTTCAAATGCAAAGCGCTCCAAACTTCACCAAATTATGTTGCGAAATCTCGAAGTTATGTTAAAAAAACGTTAAAACTTTCTCCTTCGATAACTCCCGAACGAATAAATCGATTTTTATTTTCCAAACGGCACTCGAAGTCATTTTTTGAGGTTGAGAGCTGATTAGTTTTTGAAATCGATCGGTAAAGCCGTTTAAGTCAACCAAAAAAAGTTTTTCGAAATTTTTATTTTTGAGATTTCTCAAAATCTACTCGTCCGAACGAGTTCATATTATCACCAAACCTATTCCACATTAATCTTTAGAACGCCGCAAACCACATCTCAATCGATCAAGACGTTCAAAAGTTATGAAAGGTTTACATACATACACACCACATACATACATACATCCGTACGGACGTCCACGTGAAATTAGTCAGAAAAGCTTCCTGAGATCTCAAAGCGTCGAGATCTGATGAAAACTCGATTTATGAAAATTAGGGTGAAACCAATAACTTCCCTATTTTTGCAAATTTTCAATTTTCTTAGCGGGAAGTTAAAAAAAACCCCTAAACAAAAAGAGCTGATGATCATCAAACAGCTGAACAGAATTTCCTGTAACATAGCTAAGAACACTCTCGATTAAACACAACTTTCAAACGAAAATAACTTGGTCAAAACAGGTTCATTTGTTCAGAAGCTATGATGCCACAGACAGCAGATACTACAAATTTGTAACAACCCTTTGTTTTCGTCGGGCTTTAAAATGGGAAACGACAACAACCAATGGTGAGAACATGTTGCGGGATGATTGTTCTGATCCCGATAACGCAAGGTTTTAGTCCTTGGCCGATGAATGCGTGAATTCGGTCGATGTTGCCGCTCTTGTATCGAGCTCTATAGTCAAGAACGATTTTCAACAGACCTCAAAAAAGGAGCAGGTTCTAAATTCAATTGTTTTTTTTTTTACCTCAGAACTTTTTTCCAGGTGAACTGATTTTGATGATTCTTGAAAGCTGGTGCTTCTAATGTCGAACTGATCAAGATCTCATCAGTAGTTTTTGAGTTATCCTCAATGATGCATAATTAATTACCTTAGATTCGACTACATTGATGTTCTCATTTTATTCACATTGAAGTCGGTTGTACAAAATTTTTAATTTTTCCACTTGTTTTTCCGACGAGACGCTAGGATATGTAAGTACTTAAATCATCTATCATAGGGTTGTATATTATTTACCGATTGTAATAGTTATTATATTCATTTTTAACAAGAGATGTCACAATATATATTATTCCAGAACATAATCTAACTCTCTGACGAATTTCGTCATAATTCGTTCAGATGCTTTGGCGCGAAACAGTGTTAATAATAACCAAGCAAACAAACTTTCACATAATGCCAGCAAGCCGCTCCGCCTTCGGCTGAATAGGATGTACTATGTAGCGTTATTTAAATATACGATAGTCGAAGACCATTTATTTTAACAATTTTCGTTTTTTCTCCTTAAGTTTTTTGGATACAATACGTATATCACCTAGGGTCCTGGCTTTGATCTCTATATTATGTTCGTAAAGTTGCAACGCCATCGGTTCAGCCATCCTAAAGATTAGCCCGGACACATGGACAGACAAATGTTTTAGAGATAATTGATAGAATCAGGCGTTACTTTGGGGAAATCCATTATAATAAAGATATTACAACCTATTTTATGATTATGATAGACTTTGCAACCTTCCGCGCAATTAACTGATGTGTTTTACCTAGTTTGATGAGCACCTCCCGCCCTCCCCCAATTGCGTGCACTAATCCCAGCACCACTATTCTAGGAAAAACACCATCGACGATAATACGACACGTGTTTCGCATCTACACGAGGCATCTTCAGGTAATGTAGACTCTACGGCGGCTGACCGCTAAGATCTTTAGTTCTTTATCGTCTATATCTATTATCGTCGATGGTGTGTCTTTTTTTTATAGAAGAGGGGGCAAACGAGCATGCGGCTCACCTGATGTTAAGTGACTACCGCTCCCATGATCAACCGCAACACCTGGGGAATTGCAGGTGCGTTGCCGGCCCTTTAGAAAGGAGTACGCTCTTTTCTTGAAGGTCCCCAGGTCGTATCGGTCCGGAAAAATCGCTGGTGGTAAACTATTCCACAGAGAGGTTGTACGCGGAAGAAAACTCCCTTGAAACGTACAGTGGTGGACCGCCAAGCATCCAGATGGTGTGGATGGTATCGGGACGTCTGCCGCGTAGTGCGTTCACGAAATTTGGCGGCTGGGATTAATCCGAACAATTCCTCAGAGTACTCTCCATGGTATATGTGAAAGAAAATGCAAAGAGATGCAACATCTCTTCGCAGTGCCAGTGAATCGAGCCGACGGAAAACACTCGGTCGTCGACGATTCGAGTCGCTCTGCGCTGGATGCGGTCAAGTGGAAGGAGCTGGTACTGGGGAGCCTCAGCTCAGAGATGGGAACAGTATTCCATGCGCGGCCGAACCTGCGCCTTGTAAAGTTGCAGGCGGAGTGCCGGCAGGAAATACTGTCCCGCTCTACTGAGCACGCCAAGCTTTTTAGAGGCCAATTTGGCCTTCTCTTCCAAGTGACCACGAAACTGCACGTCACTCGATATGTCGACGCCGAGGATTCCGATACTGGCTGAGGCAACAAGGGGAGTGCCTTGAAACTGAGGAGATACGACAAAGGGGTTCTTTTTAGCGGTTAACGCGCAAACTTGTGTCTTCTGGGGGTTAAACTGGACTAGATTTAGTCGCCCCCAATCCGAGACTCTGTGTCTTTCTTAGAATAGTGGTGTTGGAAGTAGTGGTGTTGGAAGTAGTGGTGTTGGAAGTAGTGGTGTTGGAAGTAGTGGTGTTGGAAGTAGTGGTGTTGGAAGTAGTGGTGTTGGAAGTAGTGGTGTTGGGAGCAGTGGTGCTGGGATTAGTGGTGGCGGGATTAGTGCACGCAATTGAGGGAGGGCGGGAGGTGCTCTTCAAACTAGGAAGACACATCATTTTATTAAATTTAGCGGATGGTTGCAAAGTAACTATTGATAGCTTTGTTTTAGAGATAGTTATTTATATCTTAATAGCTTGCAAATAACCCTTGAACTTAATAACAGCTAGTTGTTTCAATACTTATTACAGATACTTCATTTAGGTATATTTTTATGTATAGTTGTATAAAGTTAGAATTTACAAAAAACAACTGGTATTAGTGGTTAGAAGTTTAATTAGTTGTATACCACTGCGGTAAAATTTCACAAACAGGATTTTCAATGACATTAATCGTTTTGTCAGAGTTTAATTGAAAATTTAAAGTAACAGGACCTGTACATATATTCTGGTTAAAACTATTTTTAATATAACTGAGAAAATAATTCAGATAATTAAGTGCTGCTTCAGGGTTCCATTCATTCTGAAAAGAAAAATAGATGTTATAATACGTGTTGTAAAAATTTTAAGAGGTAGTCTAGTCACTTTAGGCTGTTCTTTACAACTTACTTTACAATATTGAACAATTTCTTGTTGCTCATACCATTGTAATCTTTCTACAATACCTTCTTGAGTTCTGAAGCCTACAAGTAGGCCTTTTAGATTTGCTAAGTAACACTGGCACCAACATAATAACATTTTGTATCTTCTGTAAATGAAAAACAATAAATCTGCTTTTATTTATAAGTACATAAACAAATATCAACAAACACTAAGCTACTGACATACAAAAACGTGAACTTCAGAGTGGACCAAAAGTCCGTTAACTTTCGAATCGGTAGCTGCGTCGGGGGAGCGGCGGCGGGGCGGGGCGGCGGGGTTACGAAATGAAAGAGCGGCCGATGGGAATTTAGTGCCATGGCATCCTTCACCGGAGCACAACGTGTGTTCTGCGTACGCGAATATTACAAAAATAACGATTCTTTGACAATATCGCAACGAAAATATTGTAATCATTACAATATACGCCATAAAAATGAAGCTCCATCGATTCAGTTGATTAAGAGTTGAGTAAAGAAATTCGAAAAGACAGGTTCAACGTTAAAACAACCAAGATCCGGCCGACCTAGGACATCAAGAGTTCCCGAAAATGTGGAACGTGTAAGAGCGTCTGTTCGTGAACAACCGAGACTCTACTCGAAAGCGGTCTAGCGTCTTAAATGTGCCCAGAACGTCTTTAAACCGCATTCTTCATAAAGATTTACGTTTTCATCCGTACAAAATCCAAATGGTACAGGCATTAATGTCTCAAGATCACGCTACCAGGCTGCAGTTTGCCAACGAAATGCTAGAGAAGTTTACCAGCTTTACCAACATTTTTTTCTCAGACGAGGCACACTTTAACGTTAACGGGGATGTCAGAGTCAGGCAAAATTGCAGGTATTGGAGTGACAATAATCCAAAATTGAAGCATCAAAAACCCCTGCATTCACCCAAGGTTACTGTATGGGCAGCTTTGTCAGCAAGAGGCATTATTGGTCCCTACTTCTTTAAAGACCAAAGAGGACGCACTGTTACAGTGAATACAGGGCGGTATATAGTCATGTTACAAATCGTTTTTGCTCCCTCGCTACAAAATTTTGATGGTTTTAATCAACGATCGTGGTTTCAGCAAGACGGGGCAACATGTCACACCTCCAATAACTCATTGAGTGCAGTTCGAGAAATTTTCGGCCAAAAAGTGATATCCAAAAGAGGCGACATTAACTGGCCGCCTCGCAGCCCGGATCTGTCCCCAATGGACTTTTTTCTTTGGGGATACCTTAAAAGTAAAGTTTTTGAGCCAAACCCCGTGTCTGTTGCAGAATTGAAGCAACGTATTCGCGAGGAAATGCAAAACATTTCCCGGAACACTTGTTAGGCCGTCATTGAAAATTTTCGCTCCAGGTTACAGCAATGCCAAAATAATGAAGGAACACATATGGATGATGTAATTTTTAAAAAATAAATTCCCTTTTTATGTGTTTTCATAATTAATAAACGCTTTTCACCTGATGTAATTAGTTTTCATTTTAATTTAGTTTGAAAAGTAAAAAAAAACTTATGGCCCACTCTGTATTTATTTTATTTCAATAAGTTTTCTTACCTAAAATTTCTCTCCTGTCTTTGATTTAGTATATGTCTATGGGTTTTTAATTCTAAATATTCATTATTTCTTAAATAGTGTAGATTACATTCAGTATCTGTATTTGCTGGTGGGTTTGGTACTGCACCATTTGTAGCTAACATTCCATCAATTTGTGCACAATAAATTAAATTATAAGTACCTAAAGAAGCATAGTAAAACAAGGAAAATTCTTCATTTTCTATGACTGGCCTTTCAATGTTAGGGCAAGTGTTGGGTAAATCTGTAACGAAAAAACAGTATGATACATAACACAATATAAAGTAAAAGTTTAATATGATGTAGATCAAATAGACTGACAAAAATAAATGAATAGACGTATAGGTAACGATCTTAACAAACTCATAGACAAAGCATGAGACTACTCTAGGTGGGGCAAATGCAACAGGAAGAAAGTTAGGAAATCACTCAACATTATACTTTTTTTTATTATACTTCTAAAAAAAAAGACTGGGAATTATATATAAAAGCTAAGTTTGACTAAAACTTGGCATATAATCTGCAGCAATATTGAACAATCAGAAAAATTGGGAAAGCAAAACTTTACTGCAGCAAGTCATTGTAAGCCATAGCACCCTCTGTAAAGTGTAAATTTGATAAGGGCTATACTTCTTCTCCATATGAGGCATAACCTTTCTTGCTACAAGAATAATTCCCTGTGTACACATTAACTAGTCTAGTAAGCTGGAACAACGAGGTAACTACTTACACCAACTGAAACTAGGTGAACATACTCAAATCAGTTGGCCATAAAAGACTAACTCCGATGGTCCATCTTAAGATTTCAACCCTTTATATCAGCTTGCCTGAACAGTATCTACCTGGTTTACTGCAGTGGAATGAAAATCAATTAATTGATAAATAAGTTGTCCCAATAAGAATGTTCCTGGTGCCTACGGCTGTATATCTAAGGTGTTGGTCGGCTTAGTTAGTTACTATGGTGAAATGTACTTTATGACATTCCTTAAGGGAGGCCTTTGTTCAGCAGTGGACTTGTAGAGAGCTTTAACCACTCAGTCCCCAAGCGGTCGAATCCCGTCCGCGGCGCTATTCTTATAGTATTAGTCTTCTTATAGTATTAGTGTTTTATTATAAAATTGTAATGAATGTTTTTGTGTGAATATAATTTATCTTTTTATGTAAATAATTTCGAGTAATATACATTGAAATAATTGTGATTTTCACGCTGCCGACATTCGCTTGGTATGTTTTGTTTTTGTTATCAAATACATTAGTCTTTTTGTAATGAAGTAAAACCTGACTTTTATATAGATTTAATAATGTCAAACTTCTTCATAGAAAAGTAGTCTCTAAATATAAGTTTTAATGGTTTTAAGTGCTGCGGGTGGGTGCGGTCGCATGCGACCGCTCGGGATTTGCTGGGCACATGCAACTGCATGGGCTTTTGTTCTTTTTGTTGGGATTGAGGGATTAATGTTGATGTGGGTGGTAAAATGTGCAGTAACAAGATCTAAAAACGATTAGCGGAAGCAAACTTGTAAGAAAACACTGATTTTAACAAAATTACTTCAGATGGCAGAGGGTGGTGCGGGAGGTGCGCGGCTGGGTATACACTATACACAGCACATACTCCCACTAGTAAAGTAGTGCTGTACCACGTTGTCCACGAATATTTTGTAATAACATGATTTCTTTCGTAATTATAATATAATCAGTGTATTAGAAATTAAGATTCTTTGTATCACTAACCTTTAAAGATCAATGTCTAAAATAAAACTTTTTGTGCCCTACAGGCGTATTGAATGTGACGAATGGCGGAAATGCCCTCCCCCCCTTTCCACGGTGCTAACTACTCGACCATACTTGTATAAGAACAAACCTTAAAACTATAACAATTACTTACTAATACTATACATTCAAATGTTTATCATTACTTATGTACCGTCCTATCAGTCTATTTTTCACTTGTCCCGTGCATAGGCAGGATCACGAGCTTCCTCACTGGCCGGCGCAGGCCACCTCCCTTGGTCAGCACGTCCACCGTCCACACGATGTTGTCGGAACCCGGATACGTAGCGACGATTCTTCCGCGTATCCACACGATGCGGAGCATGTTGGGGTCGACGATCTATACGAGGTCGTTGACTCGCGTCGGTTGTCCTCGTCCATGGGGTTCTCGCCGATTTTGAAGCTCAGGGAGGAACTCCTTCACCTAGCGCAGCCAAAAGATGTCGGCTAGCATCTGCGCAGCTAGCCAGCTGGACCGTGAGATGGCGTCCTGCTCGGTGAAAGTGTCTGGTTGCGAAACACGCCCTGGTCCTCCCAACAGGAAGTGGTTAGGAGTGAGGGCTTCCGGATCTTTTGGGCTGACTGAGACGTGGGTCAGCGGGCGACTGTTGACTGTGTACTCTACTACTGCTTGTAGAGTTGTGAGAACCTCCACTTTGGGATAACGTTCGTGTAATGTCGCGGTGAGAGCCGTCTTACGGAGCGAGCCTTTCGCTCCCTGACTTCGTCCATAAATGGAGCTCTAGGCGGGATGTAGCGCCAGATGGTCCTCTTTGCTGCTTCCTTCGCAGTCGCTGCGTCGATCTCCTGTCGTAGTTGCTTGTTGGCGACCTTCAGGTTGGTGCCGTAAAGAAAAAGTAAAGTTACAGCCTATATACGTCTCACTGCTGGGCTCAGGCCTCCCCTAATTTCTGAGAGGGTTTAGGGCAAGGAAGTGTCCGCCGCGCCGCCCAAATGCGTGTTGACGAACTTCACATGTCTTCGAAATATTTTTTTTTCTTATTCCTCAGACATGCACGTTTCCTCACGATGTTTTCCTTCACCGCCGAGCACGTGGTAAATCAGCACTTAAAATTGCAATTAACAATTTCACTGGTGCCGGCGGGAATCGAACCCGGGTTACTCGCGTTCTGTTATATTTACAGCGAGCGTTAACCACTGAGCTACCACGAGGTTGGTGCCGTAGTTCGACCATATTTCTGTCGGGCAGCCTCGTCGTGCAATCATTCTTTTTACTGCCATTACCGCGGAGTCAGCGCTGAGCGAGCAAGCGAATTCCAGATGTATGACTCAACGTCGTGAGACATGTGAAGATGGCCACCATATCTCTTCTCTCGAGTTAGTCCGATGGTCACTGATAGATGTCTGAAGCAGCCGGCCCTGGTGAAAGTGAAGGATCGCTTGTGATGAGCTCAGCGATACGCTGGCAATTCCCCGGTTCTAGGATGCGGCGTTACTTGAGTTTTTGTTCTACAAAACAGGCATCTACGCAGTGTTGTGCATGTGATAGGACGCAGTCTCAGTACCCAAGTCTGCACTTGACTTGAGTTGACTGTGACCTCTACACCGGCGTGATAAAGTTGCCGGTGTATGACATGCACCCAGAGCTTGGCCGTAGGATGATCACCATCGATTACCAACGGGTTCTTGAATTCTTCCTTCATGTCGTGGACTGCTCGCATACGGCTTTTAAGTCGTAGTGTACCGTTTATGGACTCGACGCTGAACTGGCGAAGGCAGCTTTCCTTGTTGATTGGCTTCGCGCTGTTAAGAATATTTCTTCCGCAAAGGACTCTTCTTGGGAAGACAGCTCGGCTGTGAATGGTAGCAGCTTCTTCTCTTCCGGCAACGGCTTCTTTGTCGTCGCGGGCGTCTGATGTTTCACTGTAGTTTTGTTCTTCTTCCAAGCAGGATCAGCTTCTTTATTCTTTTTCGTTCTTCTGTAGTCGACTTTCAGTTTGGTAGTTCTGCAGATTTGAATGAACTGCAGAACACGTGTGGTTGAGTATCGGAGTCGGTCCCAGTTGTCTTGTCGCTCACGTGATGTATAATCTTTTCATCGGCAGGTTCTTCTGCTGTTGTCCTTGCAGTTTCCGTCAGCCAGAAGTCTTCTGTTTGGTATAAGAAGTTAAGCCATTTAAACCATCGATGATCTCTGTTGATTGCTACTGTCCACCACGTTTAACTTCGTGATTCGTGAACATACGTGATTACTAAATTACGCTTCTCTAAATTAGAGGATTTACTTCAAATTACGAGTTTCCCCCTTTACCTACCTATCGTGTTTAGTTTACTTCATATAGTTCAGTCTATTTCCTTCGCCGTGTCAGTGCAAGAGACCACAATATTAATTAAAAAAATGGTAAGTACAAAAGTAAGTTTGTTCATTTTTTACAAAAATAAAAAAAATTGTTTTAAAAGTTATTTGCTTATATTTTGTCTCGTAACAATCTATAAAATTTGCATTTCAAATACTGTGTCGTCCACGTGAGAAATAAAGTAGTCAGAAGTAACTAAGATCAAATGTAGTGTTAGTTTTCACCACAAACTATTAAGAAGTGCTAGCGCAGTTTTCACTATAAACTATGTAAACGTAATCACATTAATTTTTATATTCTACAAGGTCCAATGTGTGAAAATGCATTTTGTGTTATAATTCCAACATATCGTGAATATTATGACAAAGTTGTTTTCAATAAAAACAGCAACGGTCGAAGATAGTGTAATAATAATAAAATATAAACATACCTATGATTGATTTCATATTTATTTATTAGAGGCACATACTGAGTGTTCATACTATGATATCATATAATTATACTTATATTTTTATTTTAATACAATAATATTTTGTTTTATGTTTATTTTTGTATCGGTATCTTTGCATGTGTCCCATTAGTACCATTGATTTATTTATTACACTAGATTAGTAATTACCGCGCCAAAGCGTTGCCGCTGCACATATGGCCACAGCCATATGCCTAGCTAACGTCAGTTCAGTGTTCAATGTGACGCCGACCGAGTTGAGCCGAAGCCGAACGTCCGCGAGAAAACATGGGTAAATGCGTAGTGAAAGAATGCGATTCAAGGTCGCAAAAACATAACAAATCAAGCGGAATCACTTTCCACGCATAAGTTTTAGTTCATGTTTTCATATAAACGTAAAAACCTCAAATAATTAACTAAAATTATGGAATATTGCGATTTAGGATGAATGTTGCCACTTTTCCGCCTTTGTGATTAACCCATATTAACGAGAGACTATACAGGCTGGTCCAAACAGTGAGGTTATAAATTTTTTTTTTGATTTCTCACACCTAGGGGTATCCGAAAATACCCTATGTATGTTACGCGATTTTTTGTAGTTTTCGAGTTATGATTTTTTTTACCCTTTTTTTTGAAAATATTCACCCTAAACAGCTTAACATTAAAAAAAATTTAATTGTGAAATTTTTTCCAAGTTTTTTTGTTTGT